CTCTTGGAACAAATCGTCGTCCTCCTCGCCCTCGGGTTGCTGCAGCCCCGCGCCGCCGCGGCGCCCGGGGAAGTGCTGCGGGCGGGGGCGGCGGCAGGCAGGAGGTACGCAGCCGTTGCCATGCAACGGAGGCCGGTCCACAAGAGACCTTCACAAGAAACCCAGCCCTGAGACCGCAGGACGTCCATTGATTTGGGTGTGGGAACGTCACGCTCTCCAATGCAAAGCCATCGAACCCCAAGAAACCCAGGGCACCCTGGAGAGGCAAGCCAGGTGTTTCTGGGCATGGGTCTCCACTGTATCCAGGAGAACGTAGCAGCAGCATCAAAGATGCGAGCATTTCCCTTGGGCGCATGAAAACCAGCCTCTGCACCACACCTGGCCGGGTGGAGCAACGCACGCGGTGAACGCTGGAGGGCGCCCGGCCTCCTCAGGGCAAAGCACCGCTTCGGTGTCGACCAAGACGCATCGAGCCGGAAAAGTCGGATCGGATCCGAACGCGCATCGAATCGGCAAGCAACCGCATGCGAATCCTACGGCCATCGTGCTACCGTCAAGAAAGCCAGGCAAGGACTGAAGGGGCTTTTCTGGCCACGGCGAGCCTCGGTCACAAGCAAATTCTCTGGCCTAGACTGAGGGAACGGCCCGAAAACCGGAGCGCCTCCAGAGCCCAAGTGGTCCTCAATTCAGCGCCTTCACTGTACCTCTGCAGGTCAGAGTTCTGAAAAACAGGCTGGGGTGCAGAATGTGAAGGATGTCTGCAGCCAAGCGAACCCCAGCAGGGGTGTCCGATACGCAAGCGTCGAGTGGACCCGTAGGGGCTATCGTTCGCAAGTGGTCGCAGAAACCTGATTGCAAGGGCACAGAATCGGACTCGAATCGAGTCGACCGCACCAGGATGCACAACAGTGCCGTGCGGGCGTCGGTCCCCACCAGATGAACAGACTATCGAAATCGAATCGGATCGACCCGTCCGGAATCGACATCCGATCGGATGATCGCTCTGCCACAAAAAACACTGATACGGATGCCAATCCAATGCCAATGCCAGCAGCTCTGCCATCCCCCGGACGCTGATAACGGGTAGTGAGATGCGTGGTAATACCCCAGCTAATGTTCATCTCAAGTATCTGCCACCGGTCCCCGAGGCACGAAGAGGAATGCCCGCAGGTCCTCTGCCTTGAAATCAATTGGACCTAGGCCAGAAGAACATCCTGCAAAGACACGAGACCCTCCGCCAGCCCAAACAGAAGAGCATTCGAGGGTACCCTCCCCCAGGATGCACAAGAACATCCAACAAAGACGCAGAACATCAGGGCACCCTCCCCGAACCTCCCTCGATCTTTACCTCGCTCCGACTGCACGACCATCCGCCACAGTTCCCCGAGGCGCGAGGAGTGCGCTCTTGGGCGCTCCCGGGGGCCTCCAGGGCTGGCCACACGCTGTCGCAGAACTTTTTCGGAGGCAGGAGGACTCCCAGCTCTGCCAAGAGGGATCCAACAGGCCTCCACGACGATGCCGAGATGACCTCAAGATGGCCTGAGCGCCGAAAGCGCTCCGGATGGCTCCGAGAGGACCCCAAGAGGGCCCCGAGAGGCAAAACAAATGATTGTCCACTGTTTGCTTGAAGGATCTTGCATCCTTCTCGCTTGTTCGGGCTTCCGACGCTCCAAGACCGCTCAAGAGAGAGCCACAAGATCGCCCCGAGACGGCCCGAGAGGCTCCCAGAAGGCGGCCCCTAGAGGGGCCTGAGAGGGGGAACTCGGGCTGACTTTTCAAGCCCTCTACCCCAAGATGACTCGCGAGACCGCCAGCAGGCTCCCAAGTGGCTCCCAAGAAGCCCCGCCCCCAAGAAACCAGAAAGAGACCCCAAGAGGCCCCCGAAAGGCCCCAAAACTACCGATGTCCACCCTGCTTTGCCGTCATTACATCCGCCATACTTTTGTGGAAATATCCGCCCTACTTCTGAGGCGGAATTGTCCGCCCTACTTTCTCGTATCGCTTCCAACGCATTTCAAAGACAACTCTCAAAGTCGGAAAATCAACCGAATTACGGTTGTGGATGCCACGACAATGGACACCCTAACAGTCCTATCATTGAAGTAAACATGTGTTTACAATGTCGGGGAAATGTTCTAAACATGTTTTAAACATGTTGTTTTATATGTTTTAAACATGTTTAGCACATGTTTAAGACATCTGGAAAGTATTTGGCAACATGCTTCCTCTCCATTGATCGTCCTCCACAAAATTACGGTGGATCCGAAGTCAGGGAGGGCAGAAATCGAGCGAAAACCGCCCAGACTGAAAGATCATATCGTCGGAGACCTGGGTGCGGGCACGGAGCCTAGCCTTGGAGGCTTGGAAACGGACAGCACCAGACAGGGGGGTGCGTTCACCTGGGGAGCAGGATCCCAGATCTGGCGTTTGTGATGGAGAAACCTTGGCCACCCAGGAAGCTCGAATGTGACCACCATCCTCGAGATCGAGATCATCTTCCCTCGGTGGAGGCACGCCGCCGATAATGGCTTTGGTGCCAACATCTTCAAGGGAGCCTGACTTCGCGCTTCGCGCTGCGCGAAGCGCGAAGCGCGAATAACTTCGCGCTCTCGCGCCGCCCCCCAGGGGAGAAAAGGATGCCGGGGAGGAATCGGAGCCGAAGCGCGAAGCGCGAAGAGCTCCGCGCCCTCGAGGGCACCCTTGCCTCTTGGCCTCCGACTGGCGGCGGCGGGGCCTCCAGCAGGACGCTGACCGCGTCGAGGACCCCGAAGTGCACCTGCGGCCGGCCCCAGCCCCCGACACGCAGCCCGCGGCCCGCGCAGGCGCCGCCAGGCGGGTGTGGGGGGCGGCCGCCTCCCCGGCGGCACAGGGCCCGCCCTCGAACCCAGACCGCTCTCCTCTGGATCCTCCTCTTCCTCCTCCTCCCCCCCCCTCCCCTCGTCCTCCTCCTCCCCCCCCTCTCCTCCTCCTCCTCCTCCTCCTCCTCTCCTCCTCCTCCTCTCCTCCTCCTCCTCCTCCCTCTCCTCCTCTCCTCCTCCTCCTCCTCCTCCTCCTCCTTCTCCTCCTCCTCCTCCTCCTCCTCCTCCTCCGCATCCTCTCCCTCCCCCTCCCCCACCTCCTCCCCCTCCTACCCCTCCGCCTCCTCCTCCCCCTCCTCGTCCTTCGCCCTCAGCGACCTTCAACGATGAGATCGAGTCAAAGACGTACCACCCGTACACAACAATGGTGATGCAGAAACATGACCGTGAAAGACAAGAAAAACACGGCCGAGAAGTTGGCTCCTCGGCTGATGCACGCAGCGGTCGCCAAGGTGAGTTTGGCGGCGACGGCGGCGGCGGCGGCGGAGCAGCGAGGAGCTCTGCGACAGGGAAACTCTCGCCAAAGCGGCGATCGCAAGAGGGACAAATCCCCTGCTTCAGTAAGGACGGAGGCTTTCCGGCGTGCTCGGCCTGCGCCCGCGGGGGCTGCGGCGGCGCGCGCCGGCCTTGGTCCGCTCGCTGCCCCTGCTGCTCTCCAGGCGCGCGCGCAGCCGCGCCAGCACCGCCCCGAGGCCTGGGGTCCGCGCGGGGGCCGGCGGGCCACGGAGCCCTCGGGCGGCCCCGGAGGCCGCTGCCGAGGGGCCTCGCCCACCCCTGACCTCCTCGCGGCGAGGGTGGAAGAACAATGGCCACCATCATCATCATCATCATCATCATCATCATCATCATCATCATCATCATCATCATCATCAGCAGCAGCAGCAGCAGCAGCAGCAGCCATCATCATCATCATCATCATCATCATCATCATCAGCAGCAGCAGCAGCAGCAGCCATCATCATCATCATCATCATCATCATCATCATCATCACCATCATCACCATCATCAGCAGCAGCATCATAAGCACAGTCACAATCAACAGCATCACCATGGTCCATCAGCATCAGCATCATCACCGTCAGCAGCAGCATCATCACCGTCACCATCATGACCATCACCATCACCATCACCATCACCATCACCATCATCAGCATCATCATCATCACCATCATCATCATCATCATGACCATCACCGTCATCAACACCACCACCATCACCATCAACAACAACAATCATTTTAAGACTGATCGCTCTTATCTGCTCGCAAGCCATCCAACACGTAAATCCCAAACCTTCCATACCTGCCCTCTTCGTTTTCGATCGTACCCCCTTGGGGGGATATCTTCGTTACCTACCACGTGCTTAGCGCAGCCCCTAAAACAGGGGTAGAGAGGACGGATGGAAGGGGGAGGGGGAAGGATGGAGCACGAGGAATAGCAGGAGGGGGGCTAAGAGCAGAAAGCGAGTGGCAGTTTGAGACGGGCAGATCGGGCGGGCAGACCCTGACGGGCGGGTCGGGCAGGCGGGCCCAGGCGGCCACGTCGAGCAGGCGGGCTGCCAAGTCCTGCATAAATCGCAAGGAGAACTCGAGCGCTAGCGCGATTCCCGAGGAAATGATGAAAGCGAGAGCGAGATTCATGCCAGGCCGAAGTCTAAGGTGCCCTGGACTTTCCCCCACGTCTGCTAGGCCAAAGTTCAGGGCGCCCTGTACTTTTCCCTACGCCTGCTAGGCCAATGGCCAGGGCGATATCCTCCATCGTCATGCCATGCTCGTGCTCTGCCAGGCTGCGGGCATAGCGAGCTGAGCCCGTCGTCGGGGTTCGTGTCCCCGTCCTGGCAATGACAACTCTTGATCGGCTAGATGTGGCCGTGCGCATGTTGGCCTCGCGCGGGGTGTGGTCATTGAGCCTCCGCCAAGCTTCACCAGAGCACCCGCATGCCAACTCATCACATTTCTCCACCTCGCCCCTGCTCCTCCTCCTCCTCCTCCTCCTCCTCCTCCTCCTTCTCCTCCTCCTGCTCGCCCGCTCCACTAATTTAGCTGCAACCGTCTGCTGCGCCACGCAGTGGCGCGCACGCCTTGCATCCCAGAGGCCTCGCTTGAGAATGCCTCTGTGGAGCTCCGCAGGCCTCGCGAGCCCCCGCGCACCGCGAAAGACAAGGAGGGGCCTGCGCCAGCTTGAGCCCAAATGGGCACTCCTCCTCCTCCTCCTCCTCCTCTTCCTTTTCCTCCTCCTCCTCCTCCTCCTCATCCTTCGTCATCATTTCAACAACCACCACCACAACCACCACCGTCCATCATAATCGTCATCATCATCATCATCATCATCATCATCATCATCGTCATCATCACCATCATCACCATCATCATCATCATCATCATCATCGTCATCATCACCATCATCATCATCACCACCATCATCATCATCATCATCATCACCACCACCACCACCATCATCATCATCATCATCATCACCACCACCATCATCATCATCATCATCAGCATCGTCATCAGCAGCAGCATCAGCATCGTCATCACCATCGTCACCATCATCACCGCCAGTGTCATCATCCTCCTCCTTCTCCTCCTCCTCCTCATCATCATCAGCTGCTGCATCAGCATCAGCATCAGCATCAACATCCGCATCCGCATCTGCATCATCACCCTCACCCTCACCCTCACCGTCACCATCACCAGCACCAGCAGCGGCGCCGGCCCGCCCTCTGGCCCCCCCGGGGTGAGCCCAGCGCCGCGCGCCCTTGGCCGCGCGCGCGCAGAAGAGGGCGGGGGCGGCGGCGGGGCTGCGGCCGAAGAGGCTCGAGAGCTCCGCGGCGAAGAGCACGCACCTGGCCGGGGCGGGCGGGGGCGGCGGGCCGCCGCGGGGCCGCCCTGCCGCGGGCGCCCGCGCGGCGCGCTGCACGTCGCGTGGTCGGCGGCGGGGTGGGTCCCACGAGCGGCCGGGCCACAGGCGGGGCGCAGCCGCCGCGCGCGGAGGCGCACGGAGGCGCGGGGCGGGCGGCGGGGCGCCAGACGGTGCACACGGAGGCCCGAAGTCCATGCAGGCGGCAAGAGGAAAAGAAAAGATAAAGAGAGAGGGCGGGGCGGCCCAGGGAAGCGCCCCCTCGCGCCCGCGCGCGCGCCGCGATGCGTCCTCGTGCTCTCTCTCTCGCGCGCGGCCACGCCCCAGACGGCCCAGGAAGGCCCCAGGACGTCTCGAGGAGACCCCGAAGACTGCCAAAGACGGACCGAGATGGACGCAGGACGACCTAACAGGGCATGCGACCGTCCAAAGGGACTCGCAGAGAGCCCCCATCACGATGCAGTCAAGCAGCCTCCGAACAACAAGGAGAGAGGAAAAAAGGAGCAAAGGAGGGAGGGAGGGAGGGAGGGAGGGAGGAGGGAAGGAGATAAGGAGGAGGAGGAAAGAAGAGGAGATTAAGGAGGGAGGGAGGAGGGGGAGGAAGGGGGGGAGGAGGAAGGGGGGAGGTGGAGCAATCCCCAAGCGACCCCACGTGACTATTTGAGCTACCTGAAAGTCGCAAACATTAATGTTTACATGATTTAAGCACACTCGCCTTCTCTGTCTTCAGCGCCTCCAAGACGTCCCGCGAGGCCCTCAAGCTCGCCCCATACATGGCCCAACAGGCGACCAACAAGGTCTAACGATAGACCTCAAATAGCCTAATAGGCCTCCAGACCGCCCCAAGCCAGCTCCGAGAGACCCCCAAGACGGCCCAAAAGCGCCCCGAGGCGACGGCCACAAGAAATCCACAGGACGGGCCATTTGACAACACTCGATTAACACGGCTAGTATGCATATTTTGTGTATATGTTTGTATACGGGGAGAGAGAGAGAGAGAGAGAAAGACAAAAAGATAGAGAAACATAAAACACATAGAGAGAGAGAGAGACAGAGAGAGAGAGAGATTTCTTTAAGAAAAAACGAGATGTTCGCCAGCGTGGGCAACACACAGCGTGCTTGTAACACTATAGATGTATACTAGAACAACGCGCGCGCTTCGCGCGTGCTTAGGTTCTAGCCTCTTTTTCCCATTTCGTTTTCGTCCTCGGCTTCGTCCTCGTCTTCATCGTCGTCCTCGTCGTCGTACCCCTCATCTTCCTCGGTCTCCTTCTCCTCCTTCTCCTCCTCCTCCTCTCCTCCTCCTCCTCCTCCTCCGCGTCCTTTTCCTCCTCCCCCTCCTCATTCTCCTCCTCTTCCTCCTCCTCCTCCTCCTCATCCTCATCCTCCCCCTCTCGCTGGAGACATCTTGTCACCCCCAGCTCGGAGAGGCATCGTGGACCTGCTCAGTGGAGGAGGTTTTCGTTGGTGTCGCTGCCCCTCGCACCGAAAAGAAATTCCTTTGACGCGCTTATCGGGGGAGGCGAATGGAGACACCCGAAGAGAGAATTCGGCTCAAAATCTGTCCCGAGAATTCCAGCGCACCAAACGCAACCGTTGCTCGACTTGCATCCAGCCGCGGCGACGAGGAATCTCCCCGAAGGTGAACCACTGGGGACTCAAACGGCCTTCCACTCATCATCTCTGATCACGTAAACCTACCGAGAAGGTCAGAACCGGAACAATCATTTTAAACAGGTGGAATTTCAATGTGCTTTTACTTCGTGGGGCTCTCTAGGGCCGCGTCTGGGAGGCTTCCTCACGAACCTTGGAGGCTTCTTGCAACGTCTTGGCGCCATCGTGGGCGTCTTTGAGCAAGGTTTGCTTATCTCGGGAGCCTCCTTGGACTGTCTTGGGGGACTCGTTTGCTGTTTAGGGCAGTCTTGGAAGCCTTTTGGGCCAGCTGCGGACGTTCTCGGGCGCTTCTCGGGCTGTCCCGGAGCGTCGGGAAGCCTAAAAGGGCAGGACCGGAAAAAAATACCCAAAACCATTGAAAGTTCAATGATTTTTGCCTCTTGGGGCTCTTTCGGGAAGACTCTTGGGGTTGTCCTGACAGGTCTTGGAGGGCTTCCTGGGGTTGTGTTAGGGGCCTCGTTGGCTGTCTTGGGGCGGTCTTGGACGCCTTTTGTGCCATATGGGAACGTTTGGGAGCGCTTCTCGGGCCATCCCAGAGCGTCGGGAAGCCGATAAGATCAGAACCGGGGCTGTCTTGGAAAATCTCTTGGGGCTGTCTTGGAGAACCTCTTGGGGCTGTCTTGGAGAGCCTCTTGGGGACATCCTGACATGTCTTGGAGGCGTCTTGAGACGTCTTGGCGCCATAGTGGGCGTCTTGGAGCAAATTTGGTTGTCTCGGGGGCCTCCTGGGAGCATCCCGGAGCTCTTGGGACGCGTCGCGAGGCCGCCGGGAGCCCCGGCACCCCCATGGTGGAGTGGGCCTGCCCCCCCCCCAGGCCCTGGAACGCCGGTTATATAATACATATATACATATGTGTGTGTGTGTCTGTCTGTCTCTGTCTCTGTCTCTGTCTCTGTCTCTGCCTCTGCCTCTGTCTCTGCCTCTGCCTCTGCCTCTGCCTCTGCCTCTGCCTCTGTCTGTCTGTCTGTCTGTCTGTCTGTCTGTCTGTCTGTCTGTCTGTCTGTCTGTCTGTCTGTCTGTCTGTCTCTCTGTCTGTCTGTCTGTCTGTCTGTCTGTCTGTCTGTCTGTCTGTCTGTCTGTCTGTGTGTTGTGTGTTGTGTGTACTGGGCAGTTTACGTGGGGCATCATATAAATACAATGGAATCTACGTGGTGCAATCCAGTGTGTGCAATAAGCGTTGTGCAATCTCCAAACTGAGCTGCGGATCGAGACCCACAGGGACTACGGACGGTCGCATGCGCGAGTCGGCGAAGGCCAGGGACCACTTGTCGACGGAGGCGGTTGCTTGGGGTGATGGGGGGCCTAAGCAGGAGGCCAGGCCAGCGCAGTCGGACACGGCGCCAAAGATCACGGAGGAGTCCGACAGGCTGACCAGCGCGCGCGCGAGGGAGCGCGAGAAGGAGCGGCGAGGCTGGATCACCAAGAGCCTCGAACATGCGTTTGTTCCTGCGGCAACACATCAAGCATCACATGCCGGAGGCGATCCGGCACACCGAACTGTTCGGCCTTTTGGCTATGATCAAGTGCTGTATCTGTTCTCATCAGTGCGGCAACTGCTGTGTCTCCAGCCGAGAGCCCCGAAGGTGGGGCGAGCTTGGCACATGGGTTCTCGAGGCCGCCCCCTGCTGCGCAGGCACGGCGAGCCGCGACGCCGGGGGGCCCACGCCAGACGGTGCACAGGGAGGAGGGGAAGGGAGTGGGCGGAAGGTGTGGACGTGCCACGAGCAGAGTCGGCGGTTGCCACAGGTGCCCCTCGGCCCAAGGTGCCCCCAGCTTCTCGCTCCCATTGCGGGCCCCTGCGGCCCTCCGGGCCTCGTGAGGGGTGCTCTGAAGGCCGTGGGGGCCTCCTTGGGAGCTCCTGGGGGCACCGCGGGCCAGGGGCACTTCTGGCAACGCCCGACAGAGGGCGTCGGAGAGAAGCCCCCGGAATGCGACGACCAGGCGGAGCTGCCGAGGATGAGCATCGACCACCCGAAAGCCGCGGCGTTGCGCTTCAGGGCGGGGACGGCGGCGGGGCATACAGGCGTCGCCCCGCGGGCGCTCTGGCACCTCAGTGACACTGGTACGTCTGCGTTGCCGGCGTTGTTTTCCAATCGGCGCGAGAAGCCGGGAGAACGGCCGCCCGCGAGGATGCACGCGATAGTGGTGCGTCTCCCTAAGGAGGGGGGGGGGCAGGTTGATCGCGCTGGTCAGCTCGTTCTTTCGCCTCTGGTCAAAAGCGAGGGCCACCGTTACACGTAGCTGGCTGGCGCAGGTGGATGTCTCCAACCCGCGGGGGACAGGCGGCGCCGGCAGGACGTCGACGGCAGCGGCATTCCACCGCGACCTGAAGGCGGAGGTCGAGAGGCTCAACGGCGGCCACAGCGTCACGGTGCTCCTCGACGCCTAAAAGGCGTTCGACAGCCTCATCGCGAGGCAGCTCTTGGTGGTGGCCAAGGCGATGGGCTTCCTGGCCAGGCTCATGTGGGCGATCCTCAAATACCACCATTTGCCCAGGAGGCTGAGGGCGTTCGGGTCGCTCTCGCGGAGCTACGCGGCGCACCGGGGCATCCTTGCGGGCTGCGCAAATTCGACGGCGGTGTTGGTGGCGAGCGCGGCGAGGGCGCTCGAGAGGCCGGCCTGCCACGACGTGATCCCGAGGGCCCTCGCGGACGACACGTCAGCGCGATCGGCTGGGCAAGACTTACGGGGGGGGCGCGCGCGCTGCGGGAGGCCGCCAGGCGGCGCGAGCACGACGCGGAGGATGCAGGCCCGAAGCTGCAGGTGCTGAAGTCTGGCCACGCGGCGTCCTCGAGGCAGGGCCAGGCAGCAGCGGGGCCCTTCGCCAAGCGGGCCAAGACCAGGGCCCGCCGGCACATGAGGAACCTCGGCCGCGACCTCAACGGCACGAAGGCGAGGCCGTGGCCAGGGGCAGGCCTGGCAAGCTGAGGCCGCGCAAGAGGCGCGCGGCGAGGTTGCGACGCGCGGCTGGCGCCAGAGTGGCAGCCGCGGCGCGGGCGCTGGCAGCCGGCTCGCTGGCAGCCGCGGCGAACGGCGCGGCCCCGGGTGGAGCGTCGCTCTCAGAGCTGGACGCGCTGCACTCGGAGGCGGCCGGGCTCGGAGGAGCCAAAGGGGGCGGCAGCAATATCGCGCTCTACCTCGCCAGCCAGGCCAACCAGCGCTACGACCCGATCTTCGCGGCGACCACCGCATCGCTGATGCAGCATGCGCGAGTCGTCTGGGAGTGCCAGGTTGGCCCGGTCGAGCTCGAGCGGGCTTGGCGGCAGATGTCGTGCAAAGTTGAGGGGGGCGAGGACAGGCTGACCTGGGCGTCGGCACGCGGACCGCTGAGAGTAGTGGACCTTTCGCTCAAGCGGACTGGCCGGGCGAAGAACTCCTCGACCCTCCTCGCGCCTGATGAGGGCCCTGTTTTTCCTCTGCTCCCCACGCCGGCTGCTCTGGGCCCGCGGGCTACGTGCTTGCGCGGGGGGGAGGGCGGCTTCGGTCGCGGGGGCGGGGGGGGGGGGGCGGGCGCTCTGCGCAGCCTGTGGTCCGTTTCGCTGTGGTCAAAGACTAGATTATTGAAGCGCGGACTGCGCGATGATCAGAAGTGTCGAGCGTGCCCGCACGGGGCCGAGACGCCTGGCCATGCCTTCTTGCGGCATCCTGCCCTCACCGAGAGAGCATTGGACGAAGGGGGGGGGCTGTGGCCTGGGCCCCAAGCTGGCTGCAGCTCGCGACGCGACGTTGGGGCCTGGGCAGCTTGGGGAGGGCCGCCAGGATGTCGAATTTCCTGCGCTTGCCCTCGGTACCCCGCGATGGCTGAAGCCTGATGGGCCGCCTCCGCTCGAGGGGGCACCCCACATTCTGTCGGGGTGATCGGACGTCGCCACCAGCCACCCGAGGTGATGCATGCTTTGCCGTCGGCTCCAGGCATCACAACGACATCCCTGAGCTGCATCGGCGCGGCTGATCGGCCGTGATGTTGAACGCCAACGGAGCCCCGCGCTGCGCATGGCGGGAGACTGTCGGACGAGTGCAGAGAACGGCTGGACTGCAGGCCTTGACGGAAATGCCTTCGACACGCCTTATCGTGTCCGATCTCCTTGGGTATGCGCGAGAAAGTGAGGCATCGCGCGCTGGCGCCTTTGAGACAAATGTTGATGCCAGTGCGGCGTGCCCGGCGGTGTGGGGGCAGCTCGTGGCTCTTGACCGAGGGTCTCCTAGGTGTGCTAGGTGCCCAACCCACATGACGAATAATGAGATCCTCCCCTGCTCCCGAGGCTCCCCCCCGTCCTCCGCACGCGTGGTATGTCGGAAACAGCTGGGCATATTAGTTTGCCAAGCTCGGGGCTCTGTCTGCGGAGCTTCCCGAGGGACACGCTAGGGCCCGACACTATACGAAGAACCAGGCTTGGGCTGTCCAGCGTAGTTGCAGGTTGGAGCTGTGGGCCGATAAAGCGGAGCTAACGAATACCCCTGCCTCGACTCGGAAGCCGGAACACTTGCGTACGATCAATCTCGCGCTGCATGAGGATAGCCTTGTCGAGATACCCGGGAGATTGATGTGTCGAAGGTGCCGAAGGTCCGCGTGCACGGCCGAGTCGAGACAGCGACTTGTTGGCGGGACGGACAAGTTGTGTCGTGCAGGAACGCTCAGGAATCGAACCGAACCGGCCGAACCGAACTGGGCCGAACCGAACCGGCACGAACCGCACGTCTTGTCAACAAGAACCGAACCGAACCGGAACCGAATGAGACCCAATTTCGAACCGACCCGAACCGAACTGGATTCGATGTCGAACCGAACCGGGCCGAACCGGACGGAACCGCACCGAACCGGACGCCTCCGGGGCCTTGAATTGGGCGACGTGAAGGAGGAGGAGGAGGAGGAGGAGGAGGAGGAGGCGGCCGCCGATGATCCCGTCGAGGGCCCCCCTGGGTCTCGAGGCGTGGGGCCTGGTGGGGACTCCGTGGACGCCTCGCTGGGCGCGGCGCCTGCCGCCGCTGGGCCTGGGCCGGCTGCGGCCAGGTGCCCGGCTGGGGCCCCTCGGGGAGGGGCGCCTGTGCCCGCCCTTCGGGGTGGGGTCGGGGCCCCCCTGCTCTGCGGGGGCGGCGCCTGGGGCGGCACCTGCCGGGCCTCCCGGGGGAGGGCCCCGGTCCTGCCCGTGGGGGCCGGCCGGGGGCCCCCGTGGGCGTGTCGTCTGCCTCGGGGGGGGGGGGCCCTGTCGTGAGGCCGTCGTCGAGGATCACGGCGCCTGAGGGCCACGACGTCTCCGTCGCGGGTACGCTCGCCCGGCGTCGGCGGCGCGGGGCGGGCCTACGCGTCCGTCAGGGTGGGCAGGGCCTGTCGGGCCCCCTGCCATGGCCCCTTGGACTTGCCTCCTTCTCGGAGACGGGTCCTGTCCCAGCTGGAAGCTGGCAGACATCCCACGACTCGTCGGCCGCTGTTGGCGCCTGGGGTCCAGGGGTAATTTTGGTGCCACGTCCGTTTGCAGGTGGGGTCTTCTGCTACGTTCCTGATAGAGGGGTCTCTGGTGAGCAGACGCGGTCCTCTTACTGCTTTCCTGCATTCCTCCTCCTCCTCCTCCTCCTCCCCCTCCTCCTCCTCCTCCTCCTCCTCCTCCTCCTCCTCCTCCTCCTCCTAATCTGACCGCCGCCCACAGCCCATCGCAGGTGCGGCGCCGCCTCCGCGCGCTCTCGTGGAGCCGCAGGTTCGAGTCGCCCAGCCTCGGGGAGAGGGGGGTAGCGACGGGGGGAGGGGGGGAGAAGATCAGATCGGATTTGGGCCATCCACTGGAGCAAGGTGCACGACCTCAGCAACTGGGGTGCAGCACTGATGAGCACCGCAGCTCAGGGCGCCCGCTTTGCGGGCTCACTTTCTCCCAAGGACCTGGGATCCAGGGACAAAGAAAACCAAACAAAGCACGGATAGGAGGGCGGAGATTCCTCGCTAACTGACTGGGACTGACGGATACGATGGGGAGAGGGGGGGTAGTAGGGGAGGGGGGCGGAGGCGAGGGGAGGGTAAGAGGAGGGGAGGGGGATGGGAGATGAGGGGGGAGGAGGGAAGGGGGGCGGAGGCGAAGAGGAGAGGGGGAGGAGAGAAGAGGAGGGGAGAGGAGGGGGGAGGGGGGGAGGAGGAAGAGAGGAGGGGGCGAGGGGAGGGGCGAGGAGGAGGAGGGGAGAGGAGGGAGGAGGACGGGAGGGGGGCAGAGGCGAAGAGGAGAGGGGGAAGTGTCGGCGTTCTCCGTCTTGTACAATCTGGAGGCTTCTGAGGGAACTGGCGGATGCTGTCTTTGGGGCCCTCTCGGCCCACCGCGTGCCATCTCGGCGGCCGTCGGGAAGACCCCCCTTGCCGAGGCCAGCACGAAGGCCGCGCGCGCCGGCTCAGTGGCCGCTGGCCGACTGGAGGGGCTGACCCGCCTTCGCGGAGAGGAGGGCCCTCCCCTGGTCTGGACGCACCCCCCCCCCCTCACGCTTGGAGCCAAGGCGGCCTCCAGGCGTGGCCCAAGGACAGCCCAGGAGAGCCCCAAGCGTGGCCTCCACGACGGTGCAAGACAGCCCGGGACAACCCGTTCGAGTGCGTCCAGCGAGACTCTCCGTGGGAAACCCACGCGACGGGGAGGGAAGGAGGGAGAGGGCGGGGGGGCGCTCAGAGAGGGTCTGGGAGGGGGCGGGGAGCGCAGGTTGCGTTTATGTCTTTCTTCGGAGGGGGGGATCCAGAGAACATAAACAAATGACACCAACGTTGCTGGGGCAGTTTTGGCACTGAAGAGCTAACTGTTCGCACTGATCCTGAGCTTCGATTTGGCAGCTGTCACTGTCCCTCCCTGTCTGCGCATCACACTGCACTTCCTGAATCAGAGCAGTCCGCCTGGGAGTCGCATCCGGGAGACGTTCCTGAGTGGTTTGGATGGAATGCGCACGAGAAGCGTCGAATACTGGTCGGGCAAGCCCACTCTGACCCCTTCCCCAGCGTTGCTCTTTCTGCCGACGCGTGGTCCACCAGCGTTCTGCCACTCAAGGCCACGCCCGCATTGGGCCTTCTGCAAAAAAACTGGAGCGCGCGATTGCGGCATGAATCGAAAGAAACTGTCGAACGCAACTGACAAACCAGAACTACCGCTTCCGACAGATTCCTGGCGACCACCTCCAGAGCCCCGAAGACCTAAAAACATCGCCAGAGGCGACAAAACACAAGCTGCGAGGAAATGCACCAACACCGCAGACGCGTGGGCGGCGAGCAGGAGCAGAGAGGGAATCTCCTGGCTGGAGCAGGGCAGCCCAAGGCATGCCTGATCAAACACCACTTGGGTACTTCACGGCACGCGCTCTGAAAACAGAATGCACGCGCTGTCACGCCGGCGGGCGGAGCGCGTGCGGCCACGCGGAGGAGGGGCTGTAAGGAGGGAAGGAGGTCGACAGCTCGCTCGCCTGAAAACAAGATGCACGCGCTGTCACGCTGGCGGGCGGAGCACGTGCGGCCACGCAGAGGATGACTACCTACCACACCACCCCAACCCAACCCGAAGACTCGAATTTCTGGTTGGGGGGGGTAAGGGTCCCATCTGTGTTTTTCAGTCATGTTCCCCGACCCCCCCCCCCCACACTGGAAATGGAGGGCAAATTGAGGCCTTCGGGTTGGGTTGGGGTGGTTTGGTGGGTGGCGAGAGGAGGGGGTGCCAGGAGGGGAAGGCCTCTGGCCTGCAGTCCTGAAAACAAGATGCACGCGCTGTCACGCCGGCGGGCGGAGCGCGTGCGAGCACACAGAGGTGGATGGAGGTCAGCAGGGGGAGGAGATCTCGGTTCCGCACGCCGTCGTGTGAGCAGCAGCAGGCGCTCTCAAGCTGTCTTCTTTCCCTCCTCACCCCGCTCGAGCAACGTGGCTCGCTGGCGGAAAAGCAAACTTGCAAAGTGTGCAGCCGAGCTCACTGCTGCTCCCGACCTCCAACTCCACCTCTGAGACGACACCCGCGAATCGCCACAGAAGCCCCTCGGGCACTGGAAACGACCGCCCACGGGACACGACATGCGCTCTCGCGAGACCTGCGCTGCGAGGCCTCCCCTCGACTCCTCGCCGCGCCGACGCGGCGGAGGAGGAGCCAGTCGCTCTGCGAGGCGAGGGAGAAAAACGCACCATCGATCGCCCACGCGCCCCACTCACGGACGCCTGTAGAATGGGGCCCTCCCGAGAGGTGGAGTTCGCGTCTGCCGCATGCCTCGCCCGTAGAGGATCGTAGATGCACGGACAGATCCGCCACCGTGCCCCCGTGGCACGCAGGGGAGGGTCCCGAGGATCCCTGGCGCAGCACCCGGAGCCTCCGTCCTCGGTCCCGAGGGTTCCTGAAAAGGGGCCCTGGGCCCTGGGCGTGGCGCGTGGCACCGTCCTGGGCGTGGCGCGTGCCCTCCGGGGCGCGTGGCGCCGTCCTGGGCGTGACCCCTTCGGAGCCCACGGGCCCCGAGAGGCCCCCCCCGAGACGCTCCACGAGGGCCCCGCGTCGCCGCACGATGGGCCCAAGACAGCCCCAGGAGGGCCCCAGAGACGGCCAGGGAGGCCTTCGAGACGCCCCAAGAGAACCCCCAGAGAGCCTTCCCACGGGGGCCCCAGGAGGCCAGAGACCCAGACTCCCCTTCGTCTGTTCTGTGATTCTAGCGTTCTCGCCCCAAGACAGCCCAAGAAACGCCCAAGAGATCCCCCAAAACGCCCAAGACAGCCCAAGAGGGCCCAAGGACAGCCCCAGGAAGGGCCCAAGAGGGGGAACACGAACCAGAAATGCAAGTCTTCTGCCCCGAGACGCCCCCAGGAGGCCCCAAGAGGCCTCCAAGAGGCCCCCAGGAGGCCCCAAGAGGCCCCCAAGAAGCCCCAAGAGGCCCCCAGAAAGCCTTCAAGACACCCCAAGAGGCCTCAAAACGGCCCCAAAAGGCCTCAAAACTGCCTCCACGAGGCTCCCGAGAGGCCTCCAGCGACATCCCAACGAGCATCCTCGAGGCACATGGCCCACAGCCCAGGCACGGTGGCCGGATGGGCCGAAGGCCACCAAATCCGCCGCCCCCTTTTGATGTATCAAAAGAGTGCCCGGCGTGCCAAACCCTATCGGTTTTGGTTTTGGTTCGGCCCGTCCCGCCGGGGTCCCGGGATTTTTTCCACGGACCTCACTTCCCCAATGTTCTGCCCAAGACGGCTCCAAGATGGCCTCCAAGATGGCCAAGATAGCCCAAGATGGCCTCCAAGATGGTCCAAGATGGCCTCCAAATCCGCCCAAGATGGTCCAAGGCGGCCTCCAAGACGGCCCAAGAGAGTCCAAGAGGGCCCAAGACGGCCCAAGAGGCCCCCCAGAGCCCTCCCAGACGGCCCAAGAGGCCTCCAAGAGGTCCTCCAGGAAGGCCCGACGAGACCAAAATCATTGTTTTTCTTCAGGTGTTTGAAGGATTTGGGCATTTGCACCGTTTCGACTTTCCGACGGCCCAAAACGGCCCAAGAGGCCCCCAAGGTCGCCCCAAGATCGCCCAAGATCGCCCACGAGGCCTCCAAGATGGCCCCGTGACGGCCCAAGAGGCCCCTCAAGGCGGCCCCAAGAGGGCCCGAAGACGGCCCAAGAGGCCTCCAAGACACCCAAGATGGCCTCTAAGACGACCCTGGAGCACCCCAAGAGGGCCCCAAGTCGGCCCAGAAAGACCCCCCAAACGGCTTCCGACGGCGTCAGACGGGCCAGGAGCCCACCAAGATGGCCGAAGGTGGCTCGCAGCTGGCCCAAGACGGCCCAAGAGGCCTCCAAGAGGGCCTCCAGGAGGCCAAAAAAGGCCAAAAAGAGTGATTGTCTGTAGGTTGTTGAAGGATTTTGACATTTGCTTCGTTTCGGCCTTCCGACGGCCCGATACGGCCCAAGAGCCCCCAAAATTCGCCCAAGGGTCGCCCAAGAAACCTCCAAGATGGCCCCAGAACGGCCCAAGAGGTGCCCAAGACGGCCCCAAGAGGCCCCCAAGACGGCCGAAGAGGCCTCCAAGACGCTCAAGATGGCCTCCAAGACGGCCCACGAGCCCTCCAAGACGTCCTCCAAGAAGGCCCGAAAGAGTCAAAATGGCCTCCAGACGGCCAAGATGACCTTCAAGATGCCCACGTGTTCCCCGAAGGCTTTCCAAACCGATTCGGGGAACACATGGTCCGATAGCTTGGCAGGTCTGGCCTCAACGTTCGGCCACATAGGCGCTTCCTCTAAGGCAGGAGGCGGCGGTGATTCGCCGTAGGCGTCTTTGATCCGCCGACCCCTGTTGGCTTGCCACAGGGGTGCCTGGCGTTCTAGAGGCCACCAAGGCGGCCCAAGACGGCCCTGAAGAGGCCTCCAAGACGGCCCAAGAGGCCTCCAAGAAGGCCTCCAGGAAGGCCCGAAGAGGCCAACATCATTGACTTTCCTTCAATGTTTGAAAGATCTTGGTATGTGCTTCTTTTCGGCCTTCCGACGGCCCGAGACGGCCCAAGAGCCCCCAAAAGATCGCCTCAAGATCGCCCAAGAGGCCTCCAAAATGACCCCAGAACGGTCCAATGGGCCCCCAAGACGGCCCCAAGGAGCCCCAAGACGGCCCAAGAGAGCTCCAAGATGCTCACGATGGCCTCCGAGACGGCCCTGGAGCATGGCCCAAGAAGGCGCCAAGATGGCCCAAGACGGCCCAAGAGGCCCCGAAGAGGCCTCCAGGACGGCCCCATAGGCCTCCAAGAGGTCAACATCATTGATTGTCCTTCGATGTTTGAAGGATCTTGGCATTTGCTTCTTTTCGGCCTTCCGACGGCCCGCGACGGCGCAAGAGCCCCCAAAGATCGCCCCCGAGATATCCCAAGAGGCCTCCAGGATGGCCCTAGAACGGCCCAAGACGCCCCCAAGACGGCCCCGAGAGGGCCCCAACACGGCCCAAGGGGCCTCCAAGATGCCCTAGATGGCCTCCAAGACGGTCCTGGAACACCACAAGAGGGCCCCAAGTCGGCCCAGAGAGGCCCCACAGACGGTTCCCGACGGCGTCAGACGGGCCAGGAGCCCGACAAGCCGGCCCAAAAAGGCTCCAAGATGGCCCAAGACGGCCCACGAGGCCCCGAAAAGGCGGACAAGACGGCCCCATGGGCCTCCAAGAGAACGTTCAGGAAGGCCCGAAGAGGCCAACATCACTGATTGTCCTTCGATGTTTGAAGGATCTTGGTATGTGCTTCTTTTCGGCCTTCCGACGGCCCGAGACGGCCCAAAAGCCCACAAAGATCGCCCCGAGATCGCCCAAGAACGGCCCAAGACGCCCCCAAGACAGCCTCAAGAGGGTCCCAAGGCGGCCCACGAGGCCTCCAAGATGCCAACGATGGCCTCCATGACGGCCCTGGAGCACCCCCAAAAGGGCCCCAAGTCGGCCCAGAGAGGCCCCCAAGACAGCTTCAGACGGCGTCAGACTGGCCAGGAACGCCCTAAGATTGCCAAAGAGGTCCCCGAGATGCCCCAAAACGGCCCCCCCAGAGGCCCAATGAGGCCTCCAAGATGCCTCCAAGATGCTCCCAGGAAGCTCCCAGGAGGCCCCCACAGTGCCCCCAGAGGCTCCCAAGATGCCCCCTCCTCCTGCTCCTCCTCCTCCTCCTCCTCCTCCTCCTCCTCCTCCTCCTCCTCCTCCTCTTCCTGCTCCTCCTCCTCCTCCTCCTCCTCCTCCTCCTCTCCTCCTCCTTCTCCTCCTCCTCCTCCTCCTTCCTCTCCTCCTCCTCCTCCTCGTCCTCCTCGTCCTCGTCCTCCTCCTCCTCCTTCTCCTCCTCCTCCTCCTCCTCCACCTCCTTCTCCTTCTCCTCCTAGTCCCTCAAGTCACGGCGGCCCGGGTGGCCCCCGCAACGCCGCTCGGCCGTCGTCCCGGGGGGTAATGTGGGGAGGTACGCCGCCCCTGCCGCTCGAGGTCCAGGTGCTCAACGTCGGGTTGAATTTGTTAGCCTCTCTTCAGGTACTTGCCGCTGCAGCTCATGTTCCTCGTGGCTTCCTCGTGGTACGAGGCAGGACTTCTTGGTGGACGGGCTGCTGGGCGTGCTGGTGGTCAATGTGGGCATGGGGTCCGCTGCGGTTGAGGCAGCTTGTATTTGTTTGCGGGCCCCGGCGCTTTCCACTGGTTGTCATTGTGCAGTCGATTTCTGGTGGGATGGGGCTCAGGCATTTTTGATGTTGGGCTCGAGGGATGAGCCGATTGGCTAGCATTCCCCTCGCCCTCGGGCCTGGCGTGCCCTCAGTACGTGTTGGTGCAGTGTTCGGCAGCGTATTTCACGTGGTGGGTTTTATATTGTTCTTCTCTGGCTGGTGGTTGAAAGTAGCGTGCAGCTCGCCACATATTTTGTGAGTATTGCTGGAGGTGGCACAATGTATTACTTCACTGCGGGTCACTACTACTGCCAGGTTTCTTCACCATTGCCTTCTTTTGTGTTTGTCTTCTCACTGAGAACAGTTGTTCATCATGTCTTACCACGGTTTGTACTCGTGGGCCACATCGCGTGGGTGTGGCATGCCTTACGCGTCTTGGAGTACGCGGCCTCATGGTGATCGGTGTGGCGGTCATGGCAAGCAGGCTTTGGTGCAGCATTTCGGCATTGTGTGTTTTTCGTTGTGTGTTATTTTTTCAATGTCTTCTCTGGCTGGTGGTTGAAAGAAGCATGCAGCTCCCCACTGTCCTGGGGATATCGCTGGAGGGGCGTTGTTATTTCGTCACTGCGGGTTGCATCGTGTCGGTGTGTTTGCTCGTTGTCTTCTACGCCATCATCTTCTACCCGTCCATGGAGGTGTAGGGTGTTAGGTCGGCCCTGTATCTGGGCTGACCGCGTAGGGCTGTGCATGCACACAGGCTTCCCATGTCATCGAATCGAATCCTCCTCCTCCTCCTCCTCCTCCTCCTCCTCCTCCTCCTCCTGCTGATCTTCCCCGCAATTCTCCCCCCAAGTGTTCCTCGAAATTTTTACACAACGGTTTGGGGAACACATGGTCCGATAGATTGGCAGAGCTCTTGCCACAACGCCCGGCCACATGGACGATTCCAAAAGGCAGGGGGCGGCGGTGATTCGCCGCAGGCGCCTTCGATCCGCCGCCCCCTGTTGGCTTGCCACAGGGGTGCCTGGCGTGCCAAACCCTATACTGCTTTTTATTTTGTTCGGTTCAGTGCGCCGGCCATCTGGAAAGCCGCTGAAAAAGTGTCCATCGGTCTTCTCCTCCAAGATGGCCCCAAGATGGCCTCCAAGACGGCCAAGACGGCCCAAAATGGCCTCCAAGTTCGCCCGATATGGTCCAAGATGGCCTCCAAGACGGCCCAAGAGGATCCCAGATGCCTCCAAAGTCGCCCAAGAAGCCACCCAGACGGCCCAAGATGGCTCCAAGAGGCCCCCAAGAGGCCTCCAAGACGGCCCAAGTGGCCTCCAAGAGGTCCTCCAAGAGGGCCCGCAGAGGCCAACATCACTGATTTTCCGTGAAGGATTTCGGCATTTACTTCTTTTCTGTCTTCCAACTCCCCAATACTTCCCAAGAGGCCCCCAAGATCGCCCCGAGGTGGCCCCAGAGGCCTCCGAGATGGCCCCTGGACGGCCCAAGAGGCGCCCAAGACGGCCCCAAGAGGGACCCAAGAGGCCCAAGAGGCCTCCAATACGCCCAAGATGACCTCCAAGACGGCCCTGAAGCGCCACAACAGGGTCCCAAGTCGATTCAGAGAGGCATCCAAGAAGGCTTCCGACGGCATCAGACTGGCCAGGAACGCCCGAACACGGCCAAAGCGGCCCCGAACAAGCCTCCAAAGGCTCCCAAGAGGCCCAAGGAGGCCCCCAGGAGGCCTCCAAGAGGCCATCAGAAAGCTCCCAGGAGACCCCAAGAGTGCCCCAAGAGGCTTCCAAGAGGCGTCCTCGTCCCAAGTGCTCGTCGCGGACTTTTTGGGTGAGGGGCCTCGCGAGGCCTCGGAGGAACCCCTTCCTGGGCCTGTGGACCCTCCCCAGCAGCGAGAGATCGGCGAGGCTTCAAATAGTTCGGGGTCGACCGAGCTCATAGCCGAGTTTGCGGCTCTGGGCCACGATGTTTTCTGTGTGAATTCGGTCTATTGTTGCCGTAAGTGTGCTGGCACGACGACCCTCGAAACTTCTCGGAGCGTTCGGAAGCTCCGTCGTCCTTGTGCTGGGCTCTCAGAGAATCCGAGCACGAGGGCCAACCAGCTGGGGTTGATCGATAGGATCTTCCACGGCCGCCAAGGGCGCTCCAAGCGCCCCGAGGGCAAAGCGCAGACGTAACTCGTTTTGCCTTTCCTGGGAGCGGTTTCACGGCGTCGGTTTTCCCTGGCCCTCGCTCGCCCTCTCAGTACATATTATTTCCGCCGCTTCGCGGCCCCCTCAGGGTTCTCATTTGTTCCTGAGGCGTGTTCGACTCGGACGCGCTCTCAGCGGCCCTCACCCTCACCGTATTCCTCTTCATCCTCCTGCTCCCTTTTCTTTTTCTCCTCATTCTCCTCTTCCTCACGTGTTCCCAGAAAGGTTTCAACGACAGCTGGGGGAAAACTCCGATAGCTCTAGCCCAACTTTCGGCCACGAAGGCGCTTCCACAAAGGCAGGGGGCGGCGGTGATTCGCAGTAGGCGTCTTCGCTGAAAAAAATGCATGCCTTTCAATCAGATGAGGATGGTCGGTGCCACCAACTTAAGGGCAGCCTTGTCGAGCTCCGCAGCCTGCAAACGACGATCTGGCATGCACAATCTCCACCCGCTCCTGTGCTTCCGCCTGTCGGACGACCATACGATACTGGAGGAAGGCGTGACCCCAGAGGGACCCGAAGTTCCAGAGTAGTACGCGCCGTTGACAATGAGGTAGTCTGAGTTGGACTCTGTGTTGAAGGCTTCCACGACGATCGGAGCTGCGTTCGCCTCGTCAATCCCGATCGTGCACATCTCGTTTCCACCGTAATTGCTCGGATGGTTCGGGCTCTGCACGCATGTGCCGTCCAGAGTGCACGGGCCCGAGATGGTCGCCCACATGTGCTGGGAAGCGGGCGTCGGTGCAGCGGTCGGCGGGGGAGCTGGCGCAGGAGTCGGCACCACTGGCGGTGCAGGCGTCGATGGAACTGTCGGGGCAGGCGTGGGTGCTGCAGTCGGAGGAGGTGGAGAAGTTGACACTGGCATGCACAATCTCCACCCGCTCCTGTGCTTCCGCCGGTCGGACGACCATACGATACTGGAGGAAGGCGTGACCCCAGAGGGACCCGAAGTTCCAGAGTAGTACGCGCCATTGACAATGAGGTAGTCTGAGTTGGACTCTGTGTTGAAGGCTTCCACGACGATCGGAGCTGCGTTCGCCTCGTCGATCCCGATCGTGCACATCTCGTTTCCACCGTAATTGCTCGGATGGTTCGGGCTCTGCACGCATGTGCCGTCCAGAGTGCACGGGCCCGAGATAGTCATCCACATGTGCTGGGAAGCGGGCGTCGGTGCAGCGGTCGGCGGGGGAGCTGGCGCAGGAGTCGGCACCACCGGCGGTGCAGGCGTCGATGGACCTGTCGGCGCAGGCGTGGGTGCTGCAGTCCGAGGAGGTGGAGAAGTTGACACTGGCATGCACAATCTCCACCCGCTCCTGTGCTTCCGCCGGTCGGACGACCATACGATACTGGAGGAAGGCGTGACCCCAGAGGGACCCGAAGTTCCAGAGTAGTACGCTCCGTTGACAATGAGGTAGTCTGAGTTGGACTCTGTGTTGAAGGCTTCCACGACGATCGGAGCTGCGTTCGCCTCGTCGATCCCGATCGTGCACATCTCGTTTCCACCATAATTGCTCGGATGGTTCGGGCTCTGCACACATGTGCCGTCCAAAGTGCACGGGCCCGAGATGGTTGCCCACATGTGTTGGGGCGTTGGTGCAGCGGTCGGCGGAGGAACCGGCGCAGATGTCGGCGCGAAAGTCGGCGCTGCTGTCGGCGCTGGTGTCGGTGCACCGGTCGGTGCATCGGTCGGTGCAGCTGTTGGTGATGAGGTCGGCGCAGCAGTGGGTGCAGCTGTCGGTGCTGGCGGGGGGGCGGTCGGTGCCTTCGTTGGCGCAGCTGTGGGCATTGCCGTTGGAGAATCAGTCGGTGCAGCTGTTGGAGACGAGGTCGGCGCAGCAGTGGGTGCAGCTGTCGGTGCTGGCGGTGGAGCCGTCGGTGCCCCCGTCGGTGCAGCTGTGGGAGTTGCGGTTGGAGAATTGGTCGGTGCTGCTGTTGGGGATGCGGTCGGCGCAGCAGTGGGTGCAACTGTCGGTGCTGGCGGGGAAGCTGTCGGTGCCCCCGTCGGTGCAGCTGTGGGAGCTGCGGTTGGAGAATCAGTCGGTGCTGCTGTTGGAGACGCTGTCGGCGCAGCAGTGGGTGCAGCTGTCGGTGCTGCTGTCGGTGCAACTGTCGGGGAAGCGGTCGGTGCCTCCGTCGGCGCAGCTGTGGGCACTGCCGTTGGAGAATCAGTGGGCGCTGCTGTTGGGGATGAGGTCGGCGCAGCAGTGGGCGCAGCTGTCGGTGCTGCTGTCGGCGCAACTGTCGGGGAAGCGGTCGGTGCCTCCGTCGGTGCAGTTGGCGCAGCTGTGGGTGCTGCAGTCGGCGAGGGCGACGGTGCAGCTGTTGGGGGCGCGATTGTCGGCGCAGCTGTCGGTGCAGGAGCTGGCGTCGGGGAGGCTGGTCCGCAATTGTCGATGCTGCTGGTGCAAATCTCACCGTTTGTGCACAAAGCGCTGCCGCAACCGCACGGGTAGCTCGCGCTCGACCCTGACCCGTCGAAGACGGAGCACGGATTCGCTGGGAGGGCCATGATCACCAGGTTATTAGTGGGCATGGGGGTCGCGTCATTCGCGACGCAACCAGTGCAGTTCGTGCTCTTCAGGAGGTCCCACCGTTGCGCAGCGGTCATGGATCCCGCCGCTGGATACGCCTCGTACATTCTGGCCGCGAGCCCAGCGACGTGTGGACAAGCCATGGACGTGCCTGTGTTGTAATAGGTGTGGGTGTCGCTGGACGGGCCCGTCGAGAGGATGCTCGTGCCCGGGGCATACACATCGATGCAGGAGCCCCAGTTGCTGTACGAAGACCTGTCCCATGAGGACCCTGACGTCCCGCCAAAGGCTGCTACAGTGATCGCCGACGGGATCCAAGCTGGATTCCAGCTGCACGCGTCTTGGTTAGAGTTCCCCGCAGCCACCACCACGGCCACGCCATCGGCTACCAAATTGTCGATCGAGGTCTGCTCCGCCAGGTCATTGTAATTGGCCTGGATACTGATGCTGACCACCGCTGGCCTGTTCCCAGACGACAAAATCCATTGCTCGGCCAGGATGGACCACGTGGTCCAGCCGGAGCCTGCATCATTCAGGACCTTCATTGCCCAGACGGTCGCGCCATTCGCGACGCCATAGGTCGAAGCCCCCACTGTGCCCGCACAGTGGCTGCCGTGCCCATGGACGTCTGCAGCGCACGTTGTGCTGAGGGGCGCGCACTCTGTGAGAGTGCCCGGGTACTCTCCCGAGGCGGCCACGTCCACTCCTGCGAAAGCGCGACCGCCGAACTCGTTGTGGGTTATGCGAATGCCCGTGTCCAGCACGTACACGTGCACTCCCGCGCCCCGCCCCCGAACCACGTTCGCGCCGACGTACTGGATGCCCCACGGGTAGGTCCGGGAGGCACGCCCCTCCACGTACACGTCTTCTGCATTGACGGTCTCCATGTCTGGGACCCTTTTCGAAAACTGGTCCTCTTGAACAAACTTCACGCGCCCCTTGTGCCTCGCCAATAGCGCATTGAGAGAATTTTTCGTCATGCTTCCCGCCACGAATGGCATCTCGCCTCTGCCCGGATGGCTGTGCTGCCCGTTGTTGAACTCCTGGCGAATGCCACCCAGCTCTTCATCTGTAGCGTCGTCCTCCATCACAAGCGCCCAATGGCGCTCCGCCCCTACGTCGACATCCGAAGTGGTGTAGATAGGCACGTCGGACGTGGGCCTCCGAGCATCCGACACTCCGAACAGCGCCACGACTGCGCAAGTGAGTGCTGCTGGGGCGGACGCCCATCCCGTCCGGCAGGTACTAGTAGCTCCCATGGTGCCTCCGTGGGCAAGCTTCCGGCGATCTGGATGCTGCGAGCCCTCGGTAAAACTCGCCCGAAGCAACACTTTTGAGACGGATTGGGTCGACCTGACTCGCCCGAGCCGCAATGAAGACGGAGATCACTTCTGTGAGCCTGCAGGCTCGGGCGAGCCCCAGCAGCCCCCGGCACCTGGGCGGCGTGCGGCGCTTCCTCTGCCAACCCCCGCCCTGTCCCTGCAGGGTCGGGTGCGCCCCTCGCGAGACACCACGCCAGAAGACTTCCCCCCCGCCCGCCTGGCGAAGCCTCCCGGGGGCCTCTTCGGGGCCGCTTGGGGGCCTCTTGGGGGCCTCTCGGCGGCCCTCTGGGGGGGCCGCTTCGGGGCCCCTCGGGGCGCCTCCGGAGGCCCTGTGGGCGCCCCTTTGGGGACGTCTTGGAGCATCCGAGGGCCTCCTGGGGCCATCTTGCCGCCAGCCAGCCTCCTGGGGCCGTCTTGCCTCCTGGGTTGGCTCTGTTTGTCCGGCATCCACGGCGGGTCATGCTGGCCTTTTTCTCGCAAGTTGGAGCGGCCCTCCTGGGGCTCCCCACCTGGGCCCCTTCCGGAGCCTCTCGTGGGCCCCTTCCCTGGAGCCATCTGGAGGCCTCGAGAGCCCACCGGGAGCGAAAACGCGGAAGGCACAAATTCACGACGTTCCGTCGTCCCTGAACCTGGCTCCTGGAGAGGGAGATTCTGGGCGGGCTGCATGCTCCTCGCCGTGGCCGAAAACGGGGATTCGTCGCTACTGGCCGATCTGCCTTCCGCCCGAGTCCGAGGCGGGATATCGAGTGTCGGCGTTCGCCGTCTTGGGCAACCTGGAGGCCTCTGAGGGAACTGGCGGATGCTGTCTTTGGGGCCCACCGCGCGCCATCTCCGCGGCCATCGGGAAGACCCCGCTTGCCGAGGCCGCGCCTTGCCGAGGCCAGCGCGAAGGCCGCGCGCGCCGGCTCAGTGGCCGCTGGCCGACTGGAGGGGCTGACCCGCCCTCGCGGAGAGGAGGCCCCTCCCCGGGTCTGGACGCACCCCCCCTCACGCTTGGAGCCAAGACGGCCTCCAGGCGTGGCCCAAGGACAGCCCAGGAGAGCCCCGAGCGTGGCCTCCACGACGGCGCAAGGCAGCCCGGGACAACCCGCTCGTTGGCGTCCAGCGGGACTCCCCGTGGGAAACCCACGCGACGGGGAGGGAGGGAGGGAGAGGGGAGGGGGGGGGCGCTCAGAGAGGGTCTGGGAGGGGGCGGGGAGCGCAGGTTGCGTTTATGTCTTTCTTCGGAGGGGGGGATCCAGAGAACAGAAGCAAATGGCACCAACGCTGCTGGGGCAGTTTTGGCACTGAAGAGCTAACTGTTCGCACTGATCCTGAGCTTCGATTTGGCAGCTGTCACTGTCCCTCCCTGTCTGCGCATCACACTGCATGCTCCTGCACTTCCTGAATCAGAGCAGTCCGCCTGGGAGTCGCACCCGGGAGGCGTTCCTGAGTGGTTTGGTTGGAATGCGCACTAGAAGTGTCGAATACTGGTCGGGCAAGCCCACTCTGACCCCTTCCCCAGCATTGCTCTTTCTGCCGACGCGTGGTCCACCAGCGTTCTGCCACTCAAAGAGGCCACGCCCGCATTGGGCCTTCTGCAAAAAAACTGGAGCGTGCGACTGCGGCATGAATCGAAAGAAACTGTCGAACGCAACTGACAAACCAGAATTACCGCTTCCGACAGATTCCTAGCGACCACCTCCAGAGCCCCGGAGACCTAAAAACATCGCCAGAGGCGACAAAACACAAGCTGCGAGGATATGCACCAACACCGCAGACGCGTGGGCGGCAAGCAGGAGCAGAGAGGGAATCTCCTGGCTGGAGCAGGGCAGCCCAAGGCATGCCTGATCAAACACCACTTGGGTACTTCATGGCACGCGCTATGAAAACAGAATGCACGCGCTGGCACGCCGGCGGGCGGAGCGCGTGCGGCCACGCGGAGGAGGGGCTGCCAGGAGGGGGGGAGGTCGACAGCTCGCTCGCCCGAGAACAAGATGCACGCGCTGTCACGCTGGCGGGCGGAGCACGTGCGGCCACGCAGAGGACGAC